TTTCAAATTGAAAGTAAACAAACCAAACCAACCCTTGGAAAGATTTGGAGGGGTTAATTGATTTGAGGTGATATGCAAGGACTTGTGGTTTTAATTTTGGGGAACTCAATGAGGAGGGGTAATTTATTCTTGATCTTTTGATGAAATACACTTTTGAAATTGTCAGCACTTGTTTTATGAAATAGTAGGAGTCTCTACTTTCATTATAGATAAGAGTGAGACTTTTTTTTATGGTAAGGAGAAAATGTTTCCAAACTTTACATTTAGGAAAGCTATCAAACAACGAGAAAGGAAACTAAGAAAGTAATAAGCAAGGATTAATCTAAAGCTTTTGAGGAGTTTAACTAAAATTGCTTTAGACCAAATAAAATGCAATAAGATGATGAAAGGGTAAAAAAAAAATCTCACAATCAAGTGTTGAAAAGAAGTGTTTTTGGAAACTTGGAAAAAGACAGGTGTGCATGTGGCATATATTTATATTGTAAAGGATGCATGGGAGGGAAAATAATTAGTGAGAACTCCTAGAAGTGAGATAAAGAACTTTCACAAGAGGATTGGTTTTTATTAGAGATCATCAAAGTTCTCACTTGTTTTACATAGTATTGGGCGATTTAGTTGAACTCGTAAGAAAAAATGTCGCATGCGCATTCTTTATAGATGATATAATTTCCTTATGTGTTTAATAAACAACTTTGACATGAAACGTACTTTTGAGCTTTTTAGATATCAAAAATTGTTTGGGATATTTTTAGTTGAATAAAATGACTTTAAAATGTGAATTAAAATGGGATTTAGAAGTGAATTTTTAACCCCTATTTTGAGTTGGATTTCAAATGCTATATGAGTTGGGCATTTGATGAGGAGAATAAATTGGAACATACTTTTTTAATTGACTAAGTTACACTTGAATTTTTTTTTTATTTCTTCACACGAGTTCACTTCACATCTTCAAATTTTCTTTTATCTCTGCTCCTCTCAACACCTTCACTATTCCTCTGACTGAACTTCTCCCGTCTCCCTCTCCTTGCCATCGATGCTCCCTTGTCATGTAATGAATGTTGAATTATTGATTACATAATTTTTTTCCAACATATCAAACTTCATATTTTTTATTTTTATTATTTAAGATATTAAATTTTATGTTATTTTAAATTTTTTTTCACACATTTTTTAAAAATTTTTAATATATAATAAATTATCATAAATCAATGTCTTTTTTTGTTATTGTATATTCACATTTTTTAAACATTTCTAATATATGTATATTTGTATAATAAAAACTACAAATCATCATAAATTAATATCCTTTTTTTGTTATTGTATATTTAAAAGCATATTTTAAAAGCACAAATTATCATTAATCTAAACAATTTTCAATTTACGAAACTTATTTTAAAAAAATATATCCAAACAAAAATTTCGTATAACAACTAACTTTTATTAAATTAACTTTTATCAAATAAATTTTTAAAAAATGAACTTTTGACAAACTAAAAATCAAACACATATTAATCAAGTAGTTAAGAAAAGATGTCAGATGTCAGTTTTAAGCTTGTGCGATTATAAAAGGCAAGATAGATTTGATTTGTAAGTAAAAATTGGAGAATAGATCATTCCACCAATGTCAAAGTTCTTGTAACTATGATTAAATATGACATGATTATGGTGAAATTAATAGAGATGTTATGCATAAGTTCAATTTGTTAAAATGAAGGCATAAAAAATCCAGTGTGGCCCCAAAGAACCTATCCAGGGAAGTTCTACACGGCAATGCTACATGGCGATGATGAGGATGTTGAGATGTCTTATAAAATTTTTTTAAAAAAAAGAAATAGACAAAATCCAAATGATTGCATACAAGGAAAATCAGCTGAGACATCTATTTAATAAACAATGGTAGAAAATTAATTAAAGTGATTGAATATATGAAAAAGAAGGCCACTGAAAGTGCACTGAAGAAAGTTGAACATGAGATCTTTCACATTTTGAAGAGATGATGAAATAAACCAAGAACACTTTCATGGAATTATCCAATTGCTTAAATTACATATCCAAACCTAGTTTATTATTTATTTCATCTTTCTACCATTCATTGTCTATAAATATAACATGTATCAGGCCATGCGTAGAGATCACATGTTAATGCCTATCAAATCTAAGCCATCTTTATACCTCTTAGATTTCTTCTTCCTCTTAACCAAACAAGAAGTCTTGGGCTTCTGCATTAGCAAGCTATAGATCCTTAGCATTTAATGTTAATATTCAAAAACATTAGCCGCTCTGTTCAAGAAAAGTAATAACATTAACAATAATGTTTCCAATTTGACTTCCATTGCTGGTCCCCAAAAAAAAAAAAAAAAACTTCACTTCAATTGTAAGATGCAGAACGAGAACCCAGAAAAATGAATGCTATTGCAGACCATTCACTTTTTTTTTTTGGGTGTTTTATGGGCTAGGAATAGACCCGGAATTTAAAGAGTTACAAGTAGAGTAAGTCTCCTTTCAATACTTGGCAAATGCTAAAAAATGACCTGGGCATTATTTCTTGATCTCTAATTATTCAAAATAGATGTGACCGTAAAAATATTTTTACAGCTCAATATTACACTACGGACTCGTTTATAAAAATAGAAAAGAACAGGGAAAAATTCTCTGCTTACCATGTGAAGAAAACAAATTAAACTAATATTTTTCCTGTTTTTCAATTGTCAGATTCAAAATTGAAGAAATGATACTGGTCAGAAGAAAACTAGTAAAACTTTGTATGCTAACAAGAGTTCTGAAGAGACTGTCAAGTCTCCCTTTCTAGATTACAGAAACCTGTCTCTCCTACACCATTTGAAGCCACTCACCTGGGCTTTTAGCAACTCCAGCTGAACAAAATCAGGAAGCAACCAAGAAAAATGATAAGAGAGTCAACCAACTATACCCTGTATACACTCACTAATCCAAAAAACTTTATGTACTGTTACAAAGCACTAATGGTGGTGGTGGTGGTGGTGATCAATGTCCTAAACTCGAAGAACCTTCATATAAAAACCGAAGCAACTAACAGCTCATGGTGCTGCGATCGGAAGATACAAAGTGTTGAAGAGCAATGCCACTCCATTGACAGAAAGAATTAAATACCACAATTAACATAAAATCCAGCAGTAACCAACTCAAATGCCGATTGATTTCACTTGGTTGCCTATACAGAGTAGCCTTTTGATATCTTCCTTGCTTTTCACAAGCACATGTGATGTGGGGTGTAGAAGAATGTGCCAAGTTTCATCCCAAGCAAGATGACAATGGATTTCCTAGTTATAAATCTTTACTGGCTTCTCATAGGTGTGGCGACTCTGAAAAAAAAAATCGCATCAAATGAAGCAAACCAAAACCGTTAGTAAGTACAATGATGACAGGCACTGCACAATCAAATACCATAATTTCCATACGAAATCTGCCCTTGCCAATAACGTAACTTACCTGGTTAACTGCGTATCTTTTAGGAGCATTGTCAGTATGCTCCAAGCCAAGATACTGCTCCCAAGCTCCATAAACATCTCTTCTCTATCACATGTCACAATTAAAAAAACAAAAAGGATAAATTTATGAAAACCAATAAGCATGTTACATTGATTCATGCAAATAGAACACAGGAGTCGAGAAAATAATGCACCTGAAAACGACTGGATACAATGTCAGAGTCCTGAAGGTACTCAGGACGCCCTAGAGAAAGGAAAGCAAACTTCCACTGGCCAAATGAAAAATATAAGCAGTTATGTAAACTAATAACATAGCATTTACTAATCCATGTCTAGCCCACAAAACATCTATCACTCAAACCAAGAAAAAGGGATCCCCAAAAGTTTAGAAATACCTTGGCAAACTCCTCATCTGAAACTTGTAGTTTTTTCTGTATTCGCACTTTAATTTCGGCCAAAGTCTCACCTTCATGTATGACCAAGAAAAATGGATCCCCAAAGTTCTGAATTTGCTGTAAATTTCAGAAGAAATACGAAGATAAAATGTTGGAGTACTTCAATCCATGCCACCATCATGTATCAAAGAGAAGAAATTGAAATATTTAGAAATGAACTCAGAATAATCAATCAGCAAAAACTATTTATTTACCATTTGGTTCTGAGCTGTATCCTTATTGAAATGATACACATGAATTACACGATCATGGGGACCAAGAGTTTTCTCTTCTTCTGGAATCTGTAACACTCATGTAATGAACAAAGAAATATTTTGCTAGACAAGAATTAAAAGTACTATAAAATAGGTTTTGTCAATTATATAAAGAAAATAACAATCTGGTGGTGTCATGTTTGCACAAGTAACAGAAGGAATGTTTCACAGTTTTCAGTTCCCACCCCCCTCCCTCCTCTTAACAGTTACACAGGGAGCAAACCTCACCTCCTCTGCTCTTAATGTCCAGTATTGGTCGTTGATGTTCTCAATCTTTTCACCGGGAGGAAAGACCTGCATGAACACATGTGCGATGAGATGAACACGGCTGAACAATATGCACTTTTGTTTATTAGTTAACAGCATCAGCAACAAAAGCCACAGGAGAACCAGAAAGTATTTAATTCAGTAATGTTATTCCTAATCTCCCATTAATTTTTTTAATTACTATTGTCAATATTTCTTGCAAACATACAGATCCCAGCAGCAGTCAGACCACACACCTTGTATATCTTGTGGTAGAAAACTTCCAGCAACCTAAGTTCCGCATTAGGATGAGACAACTCCACCTGTAAATAAAAGCTACAAGCAGTTAATTGAGGGTAAATAGAAAATTATATGAAAAATGGCACTAATTGGCACACAGCTCCATCCTAGTTCATGTTACCCTGCTTAATTTTTTGCCATGTTAAATTTGGATGGAGCCACATGTGTTGATAGTGTGTAATTGTGAATGGAAAGCTGTGTAGGTAGGTGGTGAAAGTGGCTTTACCCTTTTGATTTGCATGTACACGTAGGTAATTAAATGAACCAAAGAAATACTAAGCCAAGTCACCTTTGTTTTAAGATCATCAAGGACATCACCCACAGTGCTCTGCTTTGGGAGTCTGATGGTATGAATAACAACCTGATTGAACAATGCAGAGATGTAACAAATTGTCATGAAAAAGAAATGACGAGAACCAGGAGAAAATCATGATACCATACTCACTTCATCCTTAGTAGCATGATGAAATGCAACTTTCAGAGTTTTCAAACCTTGTAATTCTGGCAGAGGGATGTCAAGCACTTCATAGTATAATATATCCGAAGTCTGACAAAAAAAAATGCCATAAGAAAGGTTATTGCCTTGTCTTGTTATAGCAGATATCGATAGATTGAACAATAACTACCTGGTTGTAGTGGATCAGCATGTCAGACAAATGTTCCACCCCTCGGTACTTAATAGGCTGGGGTTTTGGTTGTTGAGAGTAACAGTTGTGTGGGGTTAGCCTAATTTTCGATGGATCATCCAATCCCAGTTGTTGAGCCACTCTCTCCACAACATCATCATATGTATAGAGCCTTGACCTAGAATTCAATATAGAAAGAATGCAAGCTAAGGATGCTATACATAAAATCTGATGCCTCAATAAATTCCAAACCAATGTTCTTACATCTCTAGGCAGAAGTCGTCTTCCTTAGGTTTATCCAAAGATCGAAAGTGAACAACCTATACATATCAAATAGAGATCAACAATTTCAGCTGTAGGCTTAACATCTTTAAACTTATAGAAGATAAAGTTAAAAGGTCCTAAAGAAGAAGGATTGCAATCTTCTACTTGATACACAAATTAAGAATCTAAGGGCTTAATAGTAAAAACCACGATCAACTACTAGAACACACATGGAGAGGAAAGTAGTAAAAACAAAGAACATGAATACACAATTGGTAGAACAGAATCTGGTAAAGATTCATGCCCACATCACATGCAATTAAAAACACAACTGCACATATAACCCAAAGAGAAAATACCTGACGGTTGTGCACATATTCTAAATATGAAGACACATCTGGATAGCGGACATGATCACTCTCCATCAAGGAACCTTTCTGAAAGCATATGATATCTCCATCTTCAAGCTGCAAATTAAGAGAACCAGTAAATGTACCAGGACGACATGCAAAACTCACAAAAGGTCAATTATGAACAGAGTATACCTGGCTTGCTCGAAATGTTAGTTTCTTGTCAATAGGTTCACACATTACATTTGGTTCAAATTTAATTTCCTGCACATTATAATTCATCAATGTCACATGAATAAAATCACAGAACCACACAAAAAACAAAGAAACACAATCACTCTCCGCTCATATAACAGAGCTCCGGAAGTAGTCATCACAAGTTAGCTTCTACACCTTCTAACTGGACTCACATCAGGAACCGATCAATTTCCACAAAGCACAAAGCAATTATTTGTAACAAATCACCACCCAGTTCAGCTGTAATAAGTAAATTTCTCATTCCTTGGTTCAGGGGGAAAGAAGCGTATTAATTTTTAGCTCAGCTATCTATCAATATTTATAATGGCAACAAAGGCTACTGACAGATGGAGTAAGAAATGTGCTTACACTCAAAATCCTAGTACACAGGTAAGTGAGCATTAATGATAGAACACAACTCACCATACATTAGAAGGGGAAAGAATGCAAGATCATAAAAAATGTTGTAGTGGGTGAAAGAGCCAATAGGGAAGTGGAAGCGGTGGAACACATGCTGGAGCTAGATACACCACAACCACTTCCAATACCAGCCAAGATTATTCAACACCTATCATTTTGGTCTCAGGACTTTCTTGATCCAAGATAGTGTCCACACACTCTACCAGTACTCTTAATGAACCTTCACCTTCACCTGAGATCTCATCATGCAATTCCTCCGTTGATTTTATCTTGCAACAATAACCTCTAGCCCTACCTTTCTTGATGCTCTAGCAGCTGATACTGCAGCATTAAAAGCCCCAGCCAGATCAACAATAGAATTTCAAGTGCAAAAAACTCATGCTCACAAACTGGCCCAATGCTTCTCAAGCTGGGCATCAAGTGAGTTAACTCTTGTGGCAAGCACTCAACCACCTTCCCAACCCCAACAGGTTGCACCATCATCGCAGGCCAGAAAACAAGTTCCAAGCCTCGGGACAGCATTCCAGAATCAAAGAGAAACAAGGCTAGATTCCTATCGCAAAGAGACATCACCCCCACGCATTGCTGCTGTCACCCACAACCAATCCTCTTGGGGATCACAAATGATGACAAAAAAGCATCAAGCAAATAATCCAACATGGAAATCAGCACAACATCATCCAACTAGGCCAAGATCTCCCTTCAGGCAACATTGCACAAAAATTCTAGTACAATGATAAGGATAAGGGAAATGAGTCATGATTCTAGTTGACAGTGGATCAACACACAATTTCATCACTGAATCAATGGTTCAAGAGTTGGGCTGGCCCATGCAACAAATTCCCTCATTTGGAGTCCAAACAAGACACAATGATGTCATAGGACGCAACCTCCTCAGCAGTGAAGTCTCCATCCAGCTCTCACGTCTTATCATTTTGGCTTTATCCAACTCAAGTGGGGGCACTTGGGAATTCATCCAAGCATTTTCCAATGCTTTTGAATTTATATTGACAAAACCTATAACACTGACCCCTTTTCAAGTCCACTTTCACATCATTTACCTCTTACGCCAACCTAAAGCTTGATATAAAACCTTATCATCACTCACCAAGTGCTTCTTCTCTATGCACTCAGAAGCGTAATTTCCTATGTTTTGCCTTGAGGACGGGGCAACTTCCCAATGGGGAGATCCTGAAGGAATATTATTCACACACGGTAGAAAGGGTAGACATGCAAGATCATCAAGAGATGTTGAATAGTGGGTGAACTAGTCAATGGGAAGTGGGTCTAGACAACACATGCTAGAGCAGTAGTAACCCCATAACTGTGGCACCTAACAGCCCACAATGATAGAGGACTGGAATTTATGTTCCTTATTTCTACATTATTTCTGCTATATTCCTTCCTCATTGAGCCAGTTCTTCATTAATATATATATATATAAGGGGGAGCTGTTATAGGTAGAATCAGATTATTAATGGTTTAATGGTTTACGTACTTGGAGATTCTCCTTTTTGGATTATATGAGTATCATGTAATTAAGTTCCCTGTGCTCTAATAAATTTCTTGATTCCAGGATTATTCAGCACCTATCAATTAATCAGAGAAAAGAAAAACCTGATAGAGTGAATCTAGCTCATAGTATAAGAACAGCAACTTGCCTTTATCTCACGCCGCATGAATTTCGTCTCCCTGAACCTACTCTTTAGCTTGAAACTTATAAATTGTTCATGAATTATTGTACTCAAATATTGGGTCATTCTAAATCGACAAATTAGCTTTTAACGTTTTCTTGCACAAAGATAACATTACTTTATGGTCAGTGTAAGATGGAATTCCAAATTCTGATACACAACCTGGAAAAGGAGTACAGCAAATCAATTTCTGAACATGGTTCCCTATTCAATGATTAAATTAAACTATGGTTGAGAAGGAATCTACCAATCCACAAGAAGCCACAACTGACAGAATACGAAGAAAGACAATATAAACCAACCTCGTAAAGCGCTATCTCTTCCTCAGAATCAAAACCAGCCATTTCATTCAACTTTCTTAAGATTTCTGATGGCTTACCAGTACCCTTTACAAAAAGCCTTCCAACATAACTGCCATCACGGGGAAACAAATATGTAGTCAACCCAGTCTTACACCTCAACAAATGTTAGAATAAAGAAGTTATGCATTACCGTAGCTCCTCTTTTTCAGGATCATATAGCTTGAAGAAAAGTAATATGTCATCCTTTGTCTTCTCCGGAGGTACAATGGGACGTAAGTCCTAAATAACAATAAAATTGTCAACAGGACTCTACATATTACTATTTGATGCTATCAAAAAAGTATACAATTCTCAAATATTACCAGCCCCATCTCCACTTCTAAAAACAGTTTTAGTTCAGCATTGTGAACTTTGTTAGATACCTCCCTCAATTGTCCAACCTGCAATAAAGTAAGACGGACTGAGGTAAAGTAATAACATCATTTAGACCCTACAAATGTTGATGTGCGGCAGGATGGAGAACCAACAGCAGATAGACAAGACATACAAGCATTTGAATGAACCAACAGTACAACCAGCATAATCACAAAATCTGAAATAACTCGTGGGGGAGTAACATATCAATTAGTGCACCTTCATTTTTAGCAATAAAAAACAGCCAGCCACAGTCGGAGAAGTAGAAGGGATAAATAATAATAATAATACAACACAGATGGGATAAGATGTCCAGCAAAAAAATTTGAACCTAATGAAATTAACATGTCTTGACATAAGATGAAATAAATTAATAGTACAGAGCATACAGGGGGGATCTAACATTTTAGTTGCCAAAAATAACCATCTCAAGCCATAATAACAAAAAAATTAAAATCTATAAAAGGGATGCATACAAAACATTTTATAATTGATAAAACCCAAACTCAAAATACAGGTTTTGTAAAGGTAATGATAGAGTGCAAGCATAAGGAAAGGCTTAAAAGCAAGAAAAGTTTACAGATTGAGTCTCCTCCATCAGTGTCAAAGGCCGATTAGGTCTATATGTATGGTTTTGCCGCTTCGCCCACAGCCAAAAGCGCTGAAATTGCACTGGTATGCCAAACTCTTTGGCAATTTCATCCTGAATTTTACATATTAATGTAAACAAACTAAGGATAAAACTTATGCAAAAGAATAATCCAAAAATGCTCTATAAGGAATAGGAAACAATCATAGCACTTATTATATATTTACTATTAAAAAAAAACAGAGCAGAGGCTCTTGTAATTTATATTTTGTCTTCTTCCAATCAAGACATCATAAACTCTGCATCCAGTCCTCTGTTCTATTTGCCATATGAAAACTCTCCTTGTCAAAACAACTTCAGTGCTCGTTTGTTCAGTTCCCTAGAGTCCCTTGACCTCATCAAGTCTTTGTACAAAAAAGCAATATGTAAATTAATATAGATGTCCAAAAGCCTATACTAACCTCCATTTATCAGCATGAAAAACAAGAAAGTCAAGACTCAAGAAATAAAAATCAAGAAACACCAGATACAGAACCCGATCCAAATCTGAACTTTCAATGATGCTTTTATAATATTTGTACCAATAAGAAATCTATAACATCATTAATAGCATTCATATTTTCAGATTATTTTCGTCTTGGAAAGTCAATGAGACTTCTCCCTATGCGGAATAATTTTCTAACATTATTTTCCTCTAACTATGGCTTCAAGAACATTATGCCAGAAAAGCAAATGTTCGGTCCTCCACTTTATACTATAAAACAGAAACATTTCTGAAGGAAATATTACTAACAAGACTCAAGACTGGTCAAAGCAGCTGAATAAGCAAAGTCCTAAATAAACCAAAATTAGTTAGTACATCATGCCAATTCAGAATACTCCTTGCAGAAGAGCCAAGAGCATGGTTAATGATGATACCCTGAACAGGTTAAAAGGCATTTGCTTTTGGAAACGGAAACTTCTAACTTTGTCATGGTCTACAAGGTCAAAATATATATCCCTTCCAATCTGCTCTGCAAGATCTTCATCTCGTGCCACCTAAGAAGCATCAAGTGTTATTAGTAATTGTTTTTTTTCCTCAAAATAACAAACGTTTAAATTTTAATCGTAATTTAACTTGGCAATCCATAGCATCAGAGGTAAATATAAGGCATGCAAAAAACTTTTTATTGATCAAGAGAGAGGTTGGAAAACTAAGAACCTTTATAATAGTATAAAGGTGAGCCTCTGCCTTCTCTTTCTTTTTGTGCTCTTTTTCTTCTTGTTCTTTCTTCAACCTCTCCTACAACAATCCATTTTACAAAATAGATCAGTTTTCCAAGAAAAAGCAACAGAGATAGCACAAAAACAAGTCATGGACTAAGAAAATGGACCCTACCTTGGGTCAGATGTTCATAATTCACACCAACCAAAAAACAAAAATTAAAATTCATTCATCTAATTACAGCTCAAGAAGAAGAAATAAGATAAAACGATGATTGAAAGGTTAAAGACATCAGTCAGCAAACTGATTGCATTAGCTGCTACTCTAAGGCAAGCTCTTATTATCAAAAAATATGTTTGATTACCTGAATATAATAGAACTAACATTTGCAAGTAAATAACAAGAATTTTGCTATATACATTGAATTAGGTCATTTCACATAAATTGTAAATCAAAATAGCATCTTACCCTCAAGTGTTCAGCAATGTCTTTCTCATCAACATTGCAAATGATTTTGTCCCTGTCACTTTCACGTATATACACCAACATATACGCATTTGAATATTTGGTGAATTTAAAAGGAGTGTTGTTAAATCCAGGATTGGCCTGTGGTAACTGTCAAAACAAAAATTATTGAACTGTAAACAAAGAAACATTCAAAGGTTTAAGGAGACCAGACTGTTGCCAACTGCAACAAAATAAATTACCTCCTCCTCACCACCATATTGTTCCTCTAATGCCCGTTTTATGTCTTCTTTTGTCACCCTCTCATCATCAAATTTGTACCTAAAAGAGACAATCAGATTTTCAAGCACAGAATGCAGAAAATGCCAAGGACAGTCATAAAAAAATCAATATAACAAAATGAAGGAATAGGTTCCGCCACTTGCTGCATGCCCATGCTCATTTAAAATGCCCTTGAAATAAAAGCTCACCAAATCTAACAAGTAATGAGGGAACACATTCAGCCTACCAAATTCTTTTGGCTACAACAATCCTCCCCGTAAATGACTGATGCTTGTTCACAAAATTAAAACTAGAATAACAATCTGAAAATAATTAAGCATATTCTTCAAAAATGATCTCACACTCTTCTCTGCAACTACCTGGCCCCAGAAGAACACATCAGGGGAACAGTGAAATCAGCATATAAGCAGTAAACATGGTCCCATGCCCCATCACATACACAAGAAAGTCAATCTAGATTAACAAGAAATGGCCAGTACCGATCTGTAAACACTTTTACATACCACTGATCAGACAGAGTTGGCCTGATAAAAGCATAATAGTGCCCACCATGCACGCCACCACTATGAACCAAAACACTGAGGGAAAAATTCAACTACATCAAGCAATGAATATCACAAAGAAATAAATATAACTAATAGCACAATTATGAACATCAACAAAATGAAAAATTAAGTCAATTATTACATTTCCACATACTTTGTTGATTGAAACTTAGGTTCGACAAAAGTTATTATTCTTTTTTTATGAAAAAAAATGAAATCACAAGAGGAAGAGGAGAAGTATAAAGTCATGAGTATAAGAAGTCCTCAAAATCAGGAGAAGAAAAAAATAGACATGCGTACAAAAGAAAAAACAAGAAACAGAACAAAGTGGCAAAAAGCCTAAGAAAATAACTAGTGTTAATTAATATTTAATTACCCAATACCAATGGTGACTGGGTGTTGAAGGGCAAGGGACTCAACACCCCTTAAATAAGGTCTCAAATTTGAGCCTTTTGGATGGAAAAACCCACGTTGAGTGCTTCCTTGATTCCTTCCAATTGGGGCCCACCCAACTCAAATCTGGATTAGCCATTAGTAATGGATACAAAACGGTTTATCACCAAAAATATATTAATTACCCAATCACTTGTGTTTCTTCATGTATAAATTCAACTAGACTCGAAAATGCATACTTAAAGATGATTCTAAGTAAATATTTAGCAAAGATCAATCAATCCTGGCATCCAAAGTACCGGCCACAAACTTATTTCCTAAAGAATAAACACAATAAAATAGAGAATATAAACAAGTCAAATAAAAATTAGGAACTAGCATATTCCGTAAATGCATCAACTGATTTGTTTGCAAGCATCCTGTCCATACTTGTTACTATCACATCCTTGCCATGGCTTTCTAATTTATTTATTTTTTTATGATGCATATTTAGTGAAAGGCCCCAAGGAGCCAGCTTAGCATGGAAGAAGTATACACAGGATCCAAAAAGAAATACTGAACGGGGTAAGTAGGCATGAAAAAGCTGATAAAGCAATGAAATATAAACAAAAACTTCTAAAACTAATAATGACATCACTGACTTATACCTGTGAAGCGTGTATAGATTGCGGACACTCCTATCAGCCTCAGGTGATAAATACTTTCCATTCTCTCGATCAAGATCAAGTTGCAAGGGAAATTCATACCTATCATTAATCTACGTGGAGAGCATAGAAAGAAAATCAACCTTCCATGTATACCAAACAAAATGAATACTATTGTACATTGTCACACATAATTAGTTTAATGAGCTGCGGCATAATCAATTGTACATGGCTATGCCCATTAAGAAAACTAAGAGAATAACAGCAAGAACACTAGCAGCACAATTCAGATGAATTAAGAAATTGAGGCACTAATATCTTCGCATGCTAGCCAACAAATTCCCAGAAAAAGAAATAAGAGTGATTAGTCTGATTGATTACCAACCTTTACCATTGTATCTCGCATAAAGTCATATTCAAATCTTTTCAGCTGAAGCTGAAGGACGGGGGGGAAATCAATAAATAGAACACCCTTCTTAGCATCCTGAAATAATAGATGCAGTATCATCAAAATTACAGCAGTTCCGGTATCAAGTTCATAAAATAAAACTGAACAGAGGATTGCACTCTAATAGTAAACGCAAGCAACTCAGTTAAATGTCATGAAAATTTTCCAAGCAAAATTCCTATTTTTTAATGCGGCAGATCAAAAACCCAGAATGCTTGTACCTATTAACACTAGAGCTGTCCGAAATAGTGTCTAAGGCAAACTTCCCATATATGTAAAATGCTCAGTGTTTTGTGATGCGAACTAATTCAAGATAACAATTGCAACTAACCTGTAAACCATATTGTTCAGCATGATATTTGTTGTCACCCTCAAGGCGTTCAACTTCTACATACTTGTCAAAGGAAGCATAAACATCACGACAGCCCTTGACATCTAACTGGAGGTCTAAAATGCACATCAAATTTAATTAGCAACATGTGATACACATGGAGATATTAAAAAAAAAAAAGGATCTTGCATATGAAAGTACCATAAAATGACTCCTTTCTGGTTGATTTATAGTCCACATTGATGCATTCAATGTAGTTCATATGGTGCCCTTCAAATAACTTTTGTATTGTTCCCTCAACAACGGTTCCCTAATTAAAAATAACAAGTCATATATAGTATAATCATATCATCCAGAAAAACTCACATGCAAACATCCCAAAGGACTTCCAATACCTTCATTTTGTCTTCAAGCTTTTCACTGAGGACCCTATTTAGTTCTTGAACATCATGCTGCATGAAAGAGTCGTATGTATCCCATCCAAAAGACTTTGTCAGCTCCTTTGTAGCAACACTAGTGTCACTATACTGCAGCTTGTAAAATAAACTTTGTAACGCCAAAGGAATGCTTCCAGAGGGCATGTCATTCTCTGTTGTGGGCATATGATAAACGGCCTGAAATGTTACATCCAGGAACCATTATTATACAACCAAACAAGTGGACTCCAGCAAGAAGCAAATAAAACATCAGGTAGTTTCAACCTTTCTAAAATAAGGAATATGGTACAAAGTTTGGAGAAGAGAATTCATATAGCAGGTAGCCCCTTGGTTCTTAAGTCCAACATAGCCAGTCTCCTTCTTTGAGTCATAAGTCCAGTAATCAACAATCCTACGGACCAGAACCTCAGCTTCAACTACAAGAACATCATTCACAAGATAACCTCTACTAGGGTCATACAACTCCCCAAGAAGCATGAAGGATGTGAAACCCCAATCACTTTCTCTCGCATTGAATTGGTGCTGCGTGTCTGCATTTTGTAAGTAGAATAAGCTGATATCAGAAGAAGATCCGCTCTACCTAAAACTTCAGTTCAAGCTTCTATTCATTTTATTTCTCTCTTTTTTTTTGGGGGGGGGGGAGGGTGGTGGAAGGCAGGTAGTACTAACAAGCTGAATAAGATGTCTAAGGTGGGTTAAATATGGGGGAAAATCAATAACACTAAGCCATCTACAAATATTATTCAGAAAAATGTCAGACAAAAAGCAGAAAGAAAACTCAGAAAACCCAGAGCTAATATTAATCCTCACAGATTCATTGTAGTTAACCAATAGTAAATTTTGAAAAGGGGCTAAATAAAATACTTCATGGAAGACATTCGGCTTTAGAATTTCTCTTAAGTATACTCAAACAAGGACCTCTGTAACCACCTAGGCAAGTAAAGTTCATTAGTCCATCTCCACAGAGAATTGCCCAGGATGAAATAACAAAGCCATCAAAATAAGCAAGGAAATATCGTGGGAATTGACATTGAAAAAAATCCACTACACTCTTTCAGACTCATTAAAATCTTATCAAAGGATTGAAGAAAGTTTTCCAGGCATCAAATGTCACTCATTGGATTGCAACAGAAGTGCTGTCAAAGCATTTACTTTTGGTTACTCTTGTGACGAGCAAAAATATCACATTGAACAGCCTACCTTTTCTCACAGAATACTTATTATGCATCTGATTAACTACTGCCAAGCTAAACTGTGCATATCTACTCCACCCATAGGGCAAACTAGACGAATCTGCAACATCCAAATACATGGACAAATAGTCCACATTGTTCCCTTTTGGAAAAATAAGTACACGCCTGCTCGAGAAAAAATAAGATTTAGAAAAGATAACTGAAGATAAGTACACGTACGATAGTATAGTTTAAAAATTGAAGATCATCAACCTAGGAAATAGACAAGCATAATACCATTTATAACCTCCAACAATGAATATATCTGAATAGAGCTTCTTCGTATTCAGCCGAGAAAAGTTTTCAATTCTCCATGTGAATCTTGTAGACGGAGAATCTTCGACAGGCTGACTCTCCACAGTGTTGGCAATTTCAGGTTGAGCTACAACTAACGATTTTCAGAAAAATAAAAAGAATTAAGTATCATGTTCGTCATCAGCTGAAAACTAAAGAATAGAATGAGCAAAACCGAACTGGACATCTAGAACCTCAAGATTCTTGGCTTGCTAGAAAAGAAGTAACACCGAGAGAGAGAAATCTAATTAAACCGCGCATTGAAATTCTCTAACTTTCAAACACAAACTAATAAGGAATGACTTTTTCTCAGAAAAACGATGACGTAGAATCTAAAATGCTTTGATCAATTTACACTCTCTCTCTCTCTCTCTCTCTATATATATATATATCTATCTATCCTCTCTCTACCTATCTCTGTCTCTCTCCCTGACAATTAAGCAATGCACACACAGGTTCTTGGACTCTGAGCAGTTTTATTAGATCATCAAAGTGATGACACAAATAGTAACAAAGACGGGATTTTATACGAATCGCGAGCATTAATTACCTTCCATAGGCTGGTGATTATTCTCAGTCAAATCCGAGTGTGGGACAAGCATCTCCTCATCCTCTTGCTGCTGTAAAGCAAAGGCAGACAAAACATCAAATTAGTTCGGATCCAACAAACACCGAACTCGTTTTAATTTCCCGCCAAGCCCTAAAATCCAAGCATCAAATGCAGCCAAGAGGCAAAATTGCAGTGAATTCCAGTCACACAGATCACAACTACAATTTTGATATGACACCCCACCGCCCCGAATGAATAATTAAATTGACCCAAATAACATTCAGCACAAATTTACGCAATTAAATAAAAAGGCGAAGAGCAAATTGCAGCCCAGCAGTGATTGAACCGGAAAAACGAAAGGAAAACTCGAGTGCCTCGTGTGCTGATAGAGTGTGGCAGGGCGATGAAGAGTGAAAGAGAGAACGTACATCGATGGGAGCAGGAGTCATCACCGTCATGTTAAATACGGCAAATTGACCTCGTCTTGCTAACTTGTCGAGAAACAATGGAAAATATCAGAGAAAAACAGAGAAAGAGTAGGGAGAAGAAAGAAAAAGAGAAAGAGACAGAGAGAGAGAGTGGAGGAGAAGGAAAAGGAGGTTGTGTGAGAGAGTACTGTGAGAAACGAGATCACCAGAAGCTGGTCGAGTCGGGGAGGGAGGGAGGTCTTTGGTCTTTATTCGGGAGGTTGGGTTACTTTCGGTATTTCCCGACGGAGGTGAAGGACGATGACGAAGAAACGTGAACGTAATCGGGTAAAGTGAAATTTCATAAAAACTTGGGGCAAACATGAAAAATAATTTAGTTCAAGGACCTCACCTGAGAATTTTGAATATTTAAGTGCCTTGTTATAATTGCCCTTTACGATGTTGTGAGATTTTATAATGCATTCGCCGTCGTTTGGGCATTTCCTTGGTCGCTGCGGATGCCTTCAACATGTGATGTGTCACTTGGTCTCTGAAAAAACAAAATTTTAATTCAGATTTGATAATTGGATTAAAGAGCAAAATAATCCCTAAAATATTATATGAAAAGCTTTTGAATTCTAAACTTTTAAAATATTCAAAATGAACTCTTAATTTTTAAATTTATAGTAAATTAAACATTGCCATTAACTTTTTATTAAAGTTGTTATTGCTCATTATAGACCCCAGTCAAATGTTAATGTGACAGCCCATTACTGATATGTCATTTATTAAGTAACACCACAAACCTTAAATTGTTACACGAGTAGTGTCCGAGACCCCGAACTTTAAAATTTCGAGCAAATTACTTCTATCATTTATATATAAAACATTGACTATTATGAAAATCAAATTAGCATCACGTGGTTCATCGCAGTAAATGTATCGTTGACCATGACGAATGACTCATAATTTTGTGAAATGACCTTTTTGCCCTTTTTGTACAATGTTTTCCAAACGATTGGTATCTCATGTTTTCATACTATAACTCTAATTTAGTTTTATTTTAAATTATATTTTTTTATTTAATGATGAAAGCTTGAGATCCTATTGAAAAAGAAGTTTAAATACCAAAGAATTTTAATTAATCGTTAATTTGGGTTTTAAATTCGTTAATGAAATCGTCAACTTTCTCATCCATCATCTGTAAAATCCTTTAATACTTAAACTTTTTTTCAAATAGGATCCCAAATTTTTACTATTAAATAAATAAACATTATTCAAAATAAGACTAAATTAGAGTTATAAAATATACGAAAATATGATATACCAATCGTTTGGAAAACATTATAAAAAGGGGATAAAAATGTCATTTTCACAAAATTATAGGTTGTTAGTAGGGCAAACAATGTATTTACTGTGGGAGATCATACTGAGGCTAATTTAGTTTACATAATAGTCAATGTTCTATACATAAATGAGGGGGTAATTTGTTTGAAATTTTAAAATTTAGAATTCAAAACGTTACTCGTGTAATAGTTTAGGGTTTGTAGCACTAATTTACAAATGACACGTTAACAAGGGACTGTCTCGTCAATATGTAATTGAGGCCGACGGTAAACAGTAACGGCGTTAACAAAAAGATAATAGTAAAATTTAATTTTTTATAAATTTAAAAGTTTAGGGTTTATTTTAAACATTTTAAGAATTCAAGATTCAGGGTGCCTTTCACGCAATATCTCAAAGTTTACTTTACTCATTAACCCTTGATAATTATAAAAATAATAATGTAATGTCAGAATAATTGATGATTTAATGAATGAATATCTAGTATATTTTTTATAAATGTTAACTGTAATTTCATATTTTTTTTGCTGTTATATTTTTCAATAATACTTAATGAATATATAAAGTCATTTTTTATGCTTTGTCTCTATTTTTTATTTTTTGAACTAAGTAAAAGAAACACGTGGATAAAATTATTTAAAGCAAATTTGTACGATGCAAATTGAATATTTAAAACATAATTTTAAATTTAAAAAATTAAATTTAAGTTATCTGATTTTAGTTTAGAAAGTTTAAAAACTGAGCAAAAATAAATAATTGAGGAATAGATCTTATAAATTAAACAAGTATTTAGTTTAATTGATAAATAATAGCATATAATAATATCATCAGGAATTTATATATATATATATATATGTATATGTATGTATGTATATGTATGTATTATATCACACCAGATTTCTTTTCTTTTTTTCTTTTTTGACCTAAGTTATCGCTCTGGTTTCATAGCTTGGAAATGTCATGATAAAACAAAATAAGGATTCGTTTGGTTTTTAATTAGAATCTCAAAAATACTTTTGAAGTGAATTTTAGATTAAAATGTTATCTGGTTTTCAATATTTTCAAAAAATTTATTTAAAAAGTCCTTTTTAGATGTGGTTGAATGTGTTTTAACCAATTTAATTTTTTTTTTTTACTTTTGAAACTTACATTCTAAAGAGAATACTTATTTATCCAAACTGACTTTTAAAAAAATATATTCAAATATAAATTTTATTACAATGATTAATTTTTATTAAATTGACTTTTATTCAATGAAAAACCAAACACACACTAAGTCTATAAAAGTTATAAGAATTATGTACTTAAATTACTTAAATGTCTAAACCGGTGATATTTTCAAATAAGAACTTGTCTCAGAATCAAATCAACCAATATTTATGTATCCAATAATAACAATTAATAAAATAAAATATATCAGTTAATATTGATAGATTAGATAATCATTAAGACCAATATTATAAGTGTTAAAATATCTTCAGATTATGTGATTAATTATGTCACTAGTAAAATTTAAATTAAATACTCATACTCATTGTCTAAACTCTAAAGTTGACGTGACAAAATAAAATTAAAAATTAACACACTGTTGGAAAATAAAATAAATATGAGATGTTAATTAATCAAAATCTCTTTTCGAGATCCCGTTCAAATCTGAATATATCTAATATCAAAAATTTAAAATCTTCTAGAAAAATAAACAATTTACTATTTTATGGTTACCTAATAAAATAAAGTACACTAATTAATATATTTTTATTCATCACATGGTATACTGGGAAACTTGGAATTTCATCATCCCTTATGCTAATCCAAACTCCTGCTGTTCAACTAGAAGCAGCACCCCTTTCGTAATATGGTAATTAATATTAAATGATTCTTAAAATAATTATATCAAGAGTAAGTGATATATAGCCTGTTTGGATTCAAAAAAAAAATCAATTTTTGAGCCAAAATAATTAATTTTTAAAAAATTACTCAAACAGTAAAAAAAGTTGATAATTGATTATTGAGCTAAAGTCATGTTTTGAAATAAACTCTGAAATGCTGCTTATAGATTCAATTTTATTGTTAAATAATATATTTTACTTCTTAAATAAAATTTAACAAATTTAATAATATTAAATATAACTTTATTAATAATTTAATTTCAAAAAATAACATACTTTATGGTAATTGCAAAGCTAAAATCAGGTTCAAAAACCAATATCTAAATAGATTGTATTATAATATAATTAATTATTTGTTTCTTCTTCTGTATTATTGGGATGAGTGGATGATGACCCTACCTCTTCTGACGCTACTTGAGAGGCCACTTCATTGATTAAAGAGGCTCATTCTTCTTTTGTTTTTGCCGCTACCAACTGTGATATTAACTTAGTTTTTTCTGCTTGAAATGATGTGGATGCTTCAACCTTTTGCTTTACATTGTCCGTTATTTTTTTCAATAATCCTTGAATTTTTTTTATGACTGCTTCTTTACCCGCATAATTTTGAATGTACTTATCCCACCATTTTACCTTAAAAATTCTTACAAGGTAATATATGGAAGGACAAGGTGGTCTTTGATCCATTACAGAGAAGCACCAGCTCATTATCCATGGAACTCTCATATAATAGAAAAACCAGAAGGGTTTTTCTGCTTCTTTCATATGGGAATTTTCTTTGAAATAGTTATATCCTTCTTCTATCATTTCTGGTAGTATTTTCTTAACTGGTCCAAAAATATGGAACCATTCAAGGAACCATTTTGGAAAAGTGTTTGGACACTTCTGGTCGAACCAGAAAAACCAGGAGTGATTATAATTTTTGTAATACAAAACATTGAACCAGGCTTCTTTATAATCAAAATAATTATAAACCTGATCCGTGTAATTTTCAGGAAAATTTTTTGATGTATACGAAGAATACCCCCAAGTGGTGGGAGTAAGAACCTGTAATATTTTGATTTGACTGTATGGATTTCCTTCAGATTCTTTGTGTGTAATGCTTATGGATTTGGAGGCTACAAGAATATATTCGTAATATATTCTGTCTTTTTTGGAATGTTGGGGAATAAAATTCCAATTTCCTTCAATTGGATGAGAAGGAAATATAGCTTGGATAGTATCGGCTATATTTTGTTTTCTGAATTCTGGCTCTACAGGACAGACATTCATGATGAACTCTTTTGGAATATATTGACTATATTCTGTTTTCTTTGAGGAAGAGGTTTCCTTTTGGCTTACAACTTGATCATATGTCTTTGATTTAAGAGATTTGTCTGATACATAATCTCTTATGGTCATGGGTCTATCTGGCTTTTGAGGTGTTTTTGGTTGTATGGTAGCTTTTCCTTTGTCCTTTTTACTCATCTTTAACTTTTCCCTGTAAAAATTCTCTTGTTAAAAAATCCGGTAAAGAATTTTCTTCTCCTTTTATAAACTGAATTTCAAAATCAAAACAAGATAAAATTGCTTGCCATCTAGCAAATATCTGTTTTGAAACAAGATTTTTAACATCTTTTTGTAAAACATCTTTTGCTGCCTTGCAATCAACTTTTATCAAAAATTTTTGATTTATCAAATCTTCTTGAAATTTTGAAATACATAAAACAATTGATAAAATTTTTTTTTTATGGTGGAATATCGCTGTTGAGCCTGTGACCATATGCCCGAATGAAATCTCACTATTTTTTCTTTATTATTTTCTACTTGTTTTAAGATTCCTCCATATCCTATTTCTGATGCGTCTGTTTCCACTATCTTAAAGGCTAAGGGATCTGCTATTCCTAGACATGGTAAATTTTTTACTTGAACTTTTACTTGTTGTACTATTTTTGTCATATTCTCTGTCCAATTTGGTGGATTCTTTTGAAGTCTTTTAAAAAGTGGGGCAATTATTGTCCTAATTTGTGGCA